GCCATCCACCGTCTGCACGGCCTGTGCTAATCGCGCGGTATACATATACTAACTGGCGCATTGGGAAGATTCCCTGCCACAACGATATCGCGAGATAACTGATTGATATTGACTCAGCTATTAATTAATACCATAGTGACAACGCGTAACACGAGACTACGATACGTGAACACGACAAAACGAGACAGCGACACGCGATAGAATGTCGAGTAAACTAAAAAGAGAAATTGTCAAAAGAGCTGTAAGTTTTGAACAACGCAAATCAACATTTTACGTCAATAATTCTTTTGCATTAAAATGATTATATAAAACTATTTCAACTCTTCAACGTGCGCGTTTCTGAAAAAGGAAAATTTGAAATTTATTTTGGAGGATTAGCGGATTTTTATATTTTTTAATTAGGTGTGAAAATCATGTACATTTTGTATGACGATAATTATGAATAATTTGTGAACGCATCTTCCGTTCATTGGATGTCTAATTATAATATCCTTCTCAAGATTGATCAATGCACAAAGTTTCCAAAGCTGTCATTAATTATACGCAACATTACATGCTCATCACTTCATTACGAGCGACTTTGTACTAGTCGACAGAATTTCGAACAAGAAACCTCCCGTAAGTCGCGTGTTAAACGACGGTTTTAAATACGCTGAGGAACGACGACATGCATTTCCTATCATCTGCTTCTTCCAGCCAGGATCTAATTTTCTATGCTCGTGTGCGCGATGGACCGCAAATGATAATGTCGCGAACAAGAATGATAATTACTGGCGTCATTAATAGGTCGTTAGACGGGATTTCATTCGGTGATGATGAAACGTCCTGAAACGCACGTGAGTCTCGTCTCTGATACCTTCGCTTTTTCGCTGCTGAAACGGAAGCTGCCCCGCGGTTGTTACGTAATTAGCAGACGCGAAATTGACAGACGATTATCTCGATGTAGATATAATGATAGTGTCGGCACAGCCATAACTCTCTTCGTTTTGCAGTGATAAAGATACATTTCTTCCGCTTTATGATCATTTTTAAACGGGAAATTACGAACGTATAAACTGCTTATCAACTTTGATTAAATGTAAAACATTGATGAGCATAGTCGAACCTTGCGAAAGAAACGATGAATGTATCGATCCATATTTCTCGAAATAAGCTATCCTCTCGTATAATATGCGGATTTTCGACCCGTTTGCACATCGAGCGTTGATTGGATACAATGCGCGATGCGAGACGTGCAAGTAGGTAACAATGCTTAACAGTGCCGTGTGTTACACGCGATGAGCAGGTACGAAACAACGCTGTCCAATCTGAAAATACACTTTGCGATATCTGGAACGACGGAAGCCATTCATAGGTTTTGCAACCGCTTCCAGGGCCACTGCACGCGGCCGGTGTGTGGTTTTAGTCTGGGTTTGTTATCGTGCTCAGCCGCGGAGAACGAGAGGCACCTTCGATTTAACCCTAATAAGATCGATGGATCCCGCGAGACCGCCCGATACGGAACAAGCGCGCGCTCGGCGCTATACGTATGCCAATTGTACATACGTATATCGGTCCTCTCGTTCGATCGATCGGCCATGAGGAAAAAGAAAGAGACAGAGAGAGAGAGAGAGAGAGAGAGAGAGAGAGAGAGAGAGAGAGAGAGAGAGATAGACGAAGCCACGATAATCAGGTCCGCGAATTAATGCCTCTTTATTTCGCCGCAAACATTTCGTTAAGGCTTGATACATCACCGTGTAATGCGCGCCGCTTTTTATCCAGCCCAATCGCTCCTTTAATTATGCAATACCGTACCGATCCTATCCGATTAATAATGGCGGACAATACTGAATCGCTCTCGTTCTTTTTCGAGGCAGAATTATTTCTCAAACGCGACCACGCGATCTCCTTTTGAACGGAATAATCGATTTGATTCGCCGTTTCAAGTTTCGAATACAGTCAAATACATCGCTAAATTGGCGCGTTTGTCCGATTAATTGCGCGGAAATACTTTGATCGCCATTGCTGTTCACAGCACACGTTCAACACAATGAGTTTAACACGTCTGATAGTAAAATACCAGTGTAGATTTTCTTGTCGATTTTTTTTTCAATTTTATTCCATTGTGATACGCGCGCTGGTGAAGTACACGGACTCGCCACTGTCCTTTCTTGACGGTGTCCTGTGGCACCAATTCGAACCTCGTTAACGGGAAATCGCCCGTACATACCCCGGCCGAGGAAACTAATTAGCCATAACTTTCCGTAAATGGATTTTAGCGCGCGATACCGGCGGTTTTATTGCACCTCGCGCTCACGCTGCGGCTCGAAAGCGCCGATGTAAATGTATCAGTCGGCATCCGGTCGAGATCGCAATGGCCGTTCGCCGTACTATGGATTTAATTATGCAATATTCCGAAGCGCGATTTTATTGTCACGGGCCGCGTTCCCTTTCCGTATTGATGAAGCAAACGATAAGCATAAACGCGGCGTTTGATCGATCGCCGTCGCACACTTTCCCACGTTACGATTACGCGATACGATTCGCTCTAGAATTGTAACGCGCACTTGCAACACGGTTGTCTCTGCTTTTATCTGGGTTGCAGCTACTAATAATATTCGACTGAACAATGTAATCAATTAATTTGCAATCATTTTCTGTTATTTTTTTTATATAAAAAGCTGATTGAATAGCGAAAATTTTGCGACTCGCGTCACAATTTCGAATTTGTCATGAAAAAATATGTTCAATATTTATCCGGCATATTAGTACACTCTACGTGAAACCGCAATGAAGTGTTTACGATTCGTAATAAGAAAATACTGTGCACTGTACTCCCAGTCGTCGATAAGTAGCCAATAATGGGAGAGGAACTTCGCTTCAACCGTGTCCAATTACTGCGAGTGTGAAAGTCTCGTAAAGTGCGTGCGACGTAGTTGTACGTCACCGATTAGATTCGTTTACCCCTATTTTTCCCGACGTCCGTCAATACGGATATACAGTCAGAGACCGCTGGCGACTTGTCGCGACTGCATCGCGTCCGTTCGCCGGATATTAACGCACGCGACGCGCGAAAAGAATACGCGCGTGAATACATTGACCGTGGCATCGATGAACTCGCCACGCGAGAGCAGCGCAATTACGGTAATTAGATTTTATAGTCGTCGTTTTAACTGTTCGCTTCTTATCTATCCAGTCGCGGAATTACGCGTTGTAAAGACATAATAGGGGATAGGTGATCCAGTAATATCTCTTCTGGCAAGTATTTATCTATTCGTCACGCTGTTTGGTGTAATGAACGGTCCTGACATAACGGCGATACATTACAATTATGAGGTTTGCGCGGTTTGAAGAGAGATGCCATAATAAAGCGAGTAGTTTACAGCACTTAAAAAGATGTTATCATATCGAGCGTATCAATGACGGAATATGAAAACGTACGTTATCGTAAAATTTTAATATTTTAATAACATGTAAATGTATAAATACAAATTAATTTATAATTTAAAATGAGATGTAAATTGTTACGCTCTTTGGAATATAAAACAAAATTTATAGAAGCGCGTTGCGCGCGATAATAAATGCATTTCAATTATATAAATTTATCGATCGAATTTTTGCACAATAACACGCGTCTTGGATCCGCCTAGAAAATTGTTACTCGGTGTACCAAGTGAGAAATGGCTGTACTTGATTTATGAGGCAGAGAGCGGCTATTTCTCCGACTGCTTAACTATTGTTTCCTGACAATAAGCGTATATCAGATATGAATGACACGAAGAAACGTTTTCTATCATTCATCAAGCTGGCACTCGGCCGGGAAGTAAAGTAATTACACGTTTTCCTGTGTCACTTGAAAGGACCATCTATCTGCGCGAAGCTACAAAAACGCGGCAATAATACCGGCATACTTCTTTCGCGGAGCAGATGATAATTAACCGTCCAGTCAATAGCGTAAGGAGTGCTGTAATACATTGCGATTCGTTAAAAATAAGCTTGGCGCACACGAGCGATCGAATTATTTGTTCCCGTCTTCCATGATTGTGTGCTCTTAAATCGTCTGGTGATAAATTATATTTTGCTGATAAGTGCGCGTTATATATTGCTTAAATTATGAAACCCGATAAGATCTTAAATCATTTGTTACATTTTCGCAAGGATAAGCTACAGTGTGTACAACGCCGAGAAACCGTTTCGCTATGAATTACGAGATTAACCTCTCGCGCTTCCAAACACATTTATATATTTATACAGTTGCACTGCGTTTTGCCTACCAAAGCACACAAGTGTTGCAACGTGTGTCTCCGTTACACGGTTCACTAATTAATTATTATTTAAAAAAACATGGCAATCGATTTGCGTGTGTATTACACTCCAATCGTGACAGTAGTAAATTGCAAGTCGTTTAACAAACATTCTCTCGCACAATGGCGAGAAACATTTTCTCGCGCTGCTAAATATTTCCTCTGTGACTAAGAAATTTATACATTCGGCATTTAAAGGCATTATACGCTCCTAATGAGAGGTTCTATCCGCGAGTGTATTGAGCAATCCCGCTCCAACAATGAATGCGTAGAACTTGTTTTGTAATTTAAAAACATTCCGTAATCATTCTTCGGATATCAAACTACATTTCATGAAAGCGCGTTTATAAAACGTAGATAAACAATCATTCGATATAGCATTTAAATATTTGCATTTTGGAAATAAATTTTGATTAATCACGCTATTATGCGTCTTGCCGGTTTTTACATTCGCGTTACATTCTCAGAATATCTATAGAAAATGTACGGAATTTTTACGAGCCGATAATGCGCCTCTGTTGTATTTCAGCAATGAATTAATCATCGTTTCTGCCGTGATAAATCCATGTTTCATCGTCGCGATGTCTTACGTGGGCGATTATTAAAGATTCCATCGATTACAGAACATCTTGTGATAAATAACTTGTTTAAATAACTCTCGCTCAAATATTACGCGATGAATTATTGCTACGTTAAGTAATAAACTTGATAACTTACCCGAAGAAGGCCTGTCCGAGTATCTGGTGCAGTAGACCCACGCTGGCCATAACATCTTTCCAGGATCGGTCCCGGCCGTTCCAGTCGAGTTCGACGCTGAGTTTCCGGTGGAAACGCTGGTGGGGGAGGCGTTCGTCGTCGTCGTTGTTTCCGAGCTGCTCCTCTCGGACGTGTCGGAGGACGACTCGAGAAAGTCCTTCGTCAGATCGATCGGTCTCGAGGCCGCCTTTTTCGGCCGCGATTTCTTCAGGGAGATAGGATCCGTGATTCGTCGGCCGAAATCCGCCTTCAGAATATTGTCTATACTGAACTTTAGACCCGCCTGATGCTGAAGATTGTTATTGTTGTTGTGATTGTTGTGGTGATTGCCATTGTTGCTGGTGCTAATGCTGTTCTGCACGCCGTTCGCGGTGGTCGGCAGGGTACGTCCGTTTTCTTCTCTGGCGCCGGGCGACGCCGGACTTGCTGGATCGCGTTGCAGCAGCTTGTTGACCGAGAGCCGATGCTGGTGCACCGAATTCGCCGGCACGTGCTGCACCTGCGAGGCCTGGTGAAGATGCGTGTGAGCGTTCGCGTGATGCAGATGCTGGCTGTGATGCGGCATCAACGAGGTAGCCTCGCGTGGGTCTCTACAGGCAGCGGGGTGGAGAACGGGCGTCGTCGCCTGGAGCCCGGTGACCGTCATAGCCGACGGCGGGGACAACGAGAGTCTCGTTACCAGAGGGACGCTTATAGGCGTGCGGTGTAGCCTCTCTACAGTGGGATAGACGATTTCGTGGCCCAAGCCGTGCTGAACTCGCGCCGGATAGTCAGGAATCTCCGGCTCTCTCGAGGAATATCGAGGTATGAGATGTTGCTGGTGACCAGACTGATACCTGGGTATGATAGCCTCTTGGACGGCATCCGGCCGACCCGGGGACGAAGCGGTGGCCGAAGAGGAAGCCGGAGACCTGACGGAAGACGCCGTGGGCGACGATGGTGGTTGGCTGTAGCCCGGCGGACTCGGCGCCGGAATGTGATTACCGGACGTACGTTGATAATACAGCTCGTTGCAGCTGGCGGAACTGGACGGCGACGGTGTTGCCGACGTCCTTGTGTTCTCCTCGTCGCGGAATTCGCCTCGACTGCTCGCGGACTCCTGGTCGTATCTTACTGAGCCGCATACGCGCACCCCGACCATGCTCGTCGGCGTAGGCTCACTACCCACGCTCAACACCTCGCTCGTGTCGCTCTCGCAGTCGCTGTCCGCGTTGCCGCATTCCGTCCCTCGCGCCTGATCTCGTTTCTCCGCGTCTTCCGCATCCTGATCCAGCCGCGGGATCAGGTGGTTCGATCTGGTCTCCGGTTCCGACGAGTCCAGACCCATTGTTGCTTCCGGAGATGTACTCGACATCTTCTTCTGGGAAAACACCCACCTCTCACAGTGTCAAAGTCAGTTTTCTTCAACCGATCACAATGGAACTTTTGTAGACCGCGTTTTCATGATGCTTCTTCTCCCCCAGTGCACTTCTTCAAATCAACAATAATCTTTCTTCGGCATTTAATGTCATTTTAAATTGTTTATTTTACAGAAATGCTCCGTGCAACACTGACGAACGACGTCATTTTTAATTCGTGTCTCAGTCACTGTTTATTCGAGTTTCACGATTTTTTTTAACATACATAATTAATCAATTAAGATCATAATGCGACGATCAAGATGTCCCTTTTGCCCTATGAATTTTCTTTGCCGTTTCACACTTCCGACGGTAACTCGACTTCTCGCGAGTTTTGCCACCCGGTTAAATCGAATTTCACTTTGCTTCTTTCCGACGGACAGGTGATGCAGGCTGTTTGCGAGCAATATTTATACTCCGTTCCATGTTTATCCTTAGTTTGTTTCTCCTTCGTTCAGTTCATCTTTAGTGTGCTTGTGCGAGGTTTCCGATGATGTTGCAGCACAAACTATCTCAGAACAGATTTGATACTCATCTGTGGAATGAATAATCTTCAATTGAAACTCCTGGATTTCAATCAAGCGTGTGGTCGTTCTTGAAGCATATCCTTTCGTTGTCTTCGTTATGCTATCATAACACAACGCACTCTCACATATTTCTGGATCCTCGACCGATTGGATGTATCTTGAAAGCCAAGCAAGGATCACTGACGTCCCCCACGCGACAGCGGTACACCCGGACGCGTCTCCAATACCGTGTCAAGCTGGTCCACGAGGCAGAACAGAAATAACGACTGCGACGAAGAAGATAAGAACGTGAAGAGTGGATGTCGCGCCGACGAAAACGTGGAGGTCCTCCGCGGCGCTGGTAGACGCGGGTTTTGACGGAGCCGTAGTGCGACGCCGTGGAACCGGACCGGGCCTGGTTGTCCAGTTGGTTGCCGCGGAACGTCTGCGGCGAGGAAGCGGCGGGAGGGCCAGCCGATGGGCGTTTCGGGGCGTAGATCTACGCGCGTGCACGCCTCTGAGGTGACCCCGATGGGGTGAGGATGCAGGTGAGGGACGTAGCCGCTCGACATCTTGCAAACTCGCCGCGTCGAGACGCCCCTGCCGAGCCCCACTCCGCCGAGGCGGCCTCTCATAGGCGATCGCCACGTCCCACTTCGAGCCGTACTCGACGCATCACCCTTCCTCGCGCATTATCCGAAGACTATCCTTATTCATCGTTCTCGTCTCGCTCTCACCGATCGTTTCCCCACCGGTGTCGGCTGGGTGTAGGGCCTTGTCGGGGCGGCCTGCAGCCGTCTCCCTCTCTTTCGCGCGGACTTTATTCCGTCTCGGCGCGCACTCCGTGCTTCTTCCGAGTGCCGTGTATCTGCCCATAGGTGATCCAGCTCGCAGCCTATGCCACTCCGTCCTTCTCGTCGGCTTATTTCGTTTCGCCGGTGTCTGTTCCTGTCGCTTTCACCCCCACCGTCCCGTGTTCAGGTCGTTTCTCTCTCGTTATTTTCTTCGTTCCGTCTGTTTCGCCGTCTATGCCTCGCGTGCTCTTTCTCTGATTCCTCTATCTGTTCATGTGCGATTCAACGCTTAGCCTCTAATAATTCAGATGATCTCGTTGCATTCATCTTGTTTAGTTACGTGAGCATTCACATTTTCAGCTCTGCTGGATTTGCTCCGGCTTTATTAGCTCCCTTTCTCTACATTTATACTTTTGCGCTCCCGCACGCGCTATCTTTTGCTTCTTAATTTTTCGCGTATTTATCAATGTGAGATGAAAGATACGCTTGTTAGAAATTGAGTTTTACGCGGGACGATACCGAAGCAATAAATCATGCAAAATCACAGGCTTGGATTTGAACGTGTCTATAATGAAACTGTCTTGCTCTCGTAATTATGGAGAGGGAGAAGTTAAGAGAGCAACTCGCGTGACATGGAAGGCAAAGCAGATAAAGACCGCGAATCATCAGCGACGATGGAATTACTCGACTATCGATTCTCCGCGATGCTTTTTCTCTCCTTCGAAGGGATAGCGTGCACGCGGCTCGTGAATCATGTATTCATTTTTCGCTCGGCCAGCAAGGAGCTCGGGCGCGCGTCAACATGATCCCGAGGCGATCGTTAAAGCTCATTATAGATCGATCTGCGTGCGGATAAGGATGTACCGAGAGTAAAAAGCCATCAGCTTGTAAACTCCAATTTGATGCAGAGTTCGTGTACGTCAGAAGAATAGTCCTGTCATCCTGTAATCAGGACATTTTTGTCGAGTATTCGTATGTGCGGTGAAGTATCAGCGGTTAAAGCCAGTTTGAATGAGAATCCTATTGAAATCGATGGCAATGAAATGCAGTTGCTACCCGCAGACGCGTTTCCAGGAATTCATCTTTTTTTCGAATTTTGCTAGATTTTTTATCTTTCAGGAAGTTTACAATTACTCTAACCCAGGAGCCTCGTCGTTTGCGGCTTTACAATTCAGTGTGTGCGTGCACTTTTCGAATAACGCTCAAATAGAAATTTACCGCGAAATCTGACGTACACTCGATCGTCAAAGAGACCACACCATAATGACATATTGTTAGTAGTGCGTCAACACCTCGTAAACCTGAACGCGAATCCGACATTTACCGAGAAGCGAACGAGAAGCGAGGCCTGAGCGAAGTTTATAAATTCTGCCCGACCAATTATTTATTCCCGGTATATTACGCCGTTCGCGTTAGTTGCCAGAATGAAATTGCAATTATCCTCGTCACGAAATGAGGGGTGTTTGCTTTGCTTTGCTTTTCTCACTTAATGTTCCAAATAAATCTTTCCTCGCGATGCAATATTTTACACAAATGATCGTGAAACGTAACTCGCGTGTACGATACGCAAGTTTGCACATATTTTCCACACTACATCTTTAGCGGTAATATTTCATTTTTTCCGTTGTAGTGCTTGAAATACACACGTAGCGTTGAGCGAAGGCCAAGAGCACGCAGATAAAATTGACGAAAAAGGATATTAAAACGCGGTAGAAAAAAATAATGCGTACGTGGTAGTTTCATCGGGGGGCGTACAGTGCATGTAATAGCGAGAAAAAAGACGCCGGTTAGCAGCCACGATCGGATTAAGGAGTCTCGACGTTATCCCCGCTTGCAACATGTACTGCAGCCTCGTACTCGTTACTGGCGGCCGGCTTCGTAAATTTCGTTAACGCGAGCTACCCTGCATTCCCGCCTTAACGAGCGTCCACGCGCTCGTTAGTATCCCTAAGGCCTTCGCTTAGGTACACCCTGTAAGTTAGCGGACTTGCTGCGCTTGCTAATTCGTAAGCGGCTACTCTTATTCGAGCGGATGCAGCTTGCTCTCATGGAACGAGGCATCCTTTTCAGAGGCGAATGCACCGTGTACGAATTCATACTGGGATCTTCACAAGTTTTTGTTTTTTGCTCCGATTACTATTATTATCTTATTAAATTAAGTACTATTAATTTTTATTTCAAATTTTTCAAAATAATGGTCTTACAATATGAACTTGTTATATGTTGTTTTTAATTTTCTATACATGTGCTCAATCAATTTGTGTTAAAAGAACGAAAATAAATCCATAATGCAGTGATAAAAAATTAATAGTCGCGTCTTGATCGCGAGTTTAAATATTCATTATCCCGTAAATATTGTAATAATCCATGAATAGAATTATAATATAAAATTTTATCTTAACTCGTTAATTCGTGTTTACGATAAAGATGATAGCTTTAAAGTCGTTTCATGTTACTGAAATACATTAATCGCCGAAGTGGATTTTTTATATCCTATTATTTATAACAAATGATACTTATTCTTTGCAATGATGCAGTCAGCGTCGCGTAACATGTAGGCACATCCTCCACTAGTAGATCAATTTGCATAATTTACGTCCTAACACCCGAGTTGACTACTTTCGCGCTGCTGATTTTTATCTCAATGCCTGATTTTATTGTAATTACGGCAAGCGTGTTATTAGCGTTTCGTGTATATACGGATTCGCTTAATGATACAATAATTTAATACTGCACGAAATTAGTGATGCATATTAATTGAAGCTGGGAAACTCTTCTTAACATGATTTACGATGCATCCGTGTGAAGTGTGTAATATACAGCAAATGAAAATTTCTTCTATGATATACAGGATTGTAAATATTATATAAAAACGACGCTGCCATGTGTGGAGCGTCGCATAATATTTTATTTATTTTGATTTACATCTAATCTATACTAAATTTATTTATTATATTCTTAATGTCTGCAATCAATAGCTCAAATAATCGGCAGCTTTAACAAAGCAAACAGCGAATATCTTTAATTTGTTGAATTTTATTTTGCTCTCAAATTTTTGTAAGAAATAAGATTGTCGATATTTACTTTAACATTTTTATTTGTTATATTTTTTCAGTTGAAGCGTACCCGAAAAACTCGGAGCTGTTTCAGCGAAAGACTGCGTCCCTGTACTGTGCGTACGTATCGATTTTTCGAGTATCAAGCTAGTCGGCATTAGCATGGCAAAGAAGACGCCAATTTGAGTCTGATAAGCGACCTGCCATAAGGTAAGGGTACTATTCTATCGATTGTTTTAAACTGTTACATTTTGGTTTTCTATTGTAGTTTGCAATATATTTTTCTATGTGATGACTAAAATACACTACAAAGCGTGTGCTACGCACTATTTATGCTTGGAAAGATTATAACTGCCTTTGTTAAGAATGAATGATACATGGAAAAAACTTATGCGCTCGTTACATTGGCAAAAAATCGTTACTTTTTCGGCTGAAACACGTTATCTTCGATACAATGTGATTAAGTTCATAAAAATAACTAAGTTATGAAAGGTTTGCTGCTTATGCAATTAATTGAAGCAGACTTTGCAGATCTATAGATAGAATTCTTCCTTAATTAGTTTCCCTTCGCACATAAATTACGGAGAATTAAATCTTGCAATTCATTAATTCGACTCGCCTGACAGTTGAGCTGAAGGGAACGGCATAATGTAATTAAATTATTATTAATTGGACATTTAGATAGAACCGCGATGGACAAATTGCCCGTCATTTGATAAGGCAGATACACAGTGTTGCAATAACGAACATTATTGCCGGCGCCGCGCGTCGCAGGACCATGTACAAAGATAAATTACGGTGGAATTCACAATGGAGACTTTATCAGATTCGGATGTACGTCGCTCATTATTAGGAAACTTCTCCTTGCCGGAGAATCGCCCGACGAATTCGTCATTCGCAGTTAAATAAGGCGGTGTTGCAAATTGCCCCGGATTGCAATAATGCACCGCGCCGCGGGCGCTAAATTTCGTGGGATCACGCGAGAGGACTCGAGTTATATATTCGCGAAGGAAATCACCGAGGTGCATCTATCAGACTTATCTGACGGTGGAGTACCTCTGCAGTCTGGCGAACGCGCCCGACAATCTTATTTATAGCTTGCAATGAGAAACGGACAGCTATGGTCAACGAAACGATTCGATTGGAGGCGATATCGTTTAATCAATCGCATTGTCTAGCAAAGGTAGAATCTTTTTTTTTTTTTTAGATGAAACATAACGATATAGAACATTGCTTACGGCTTGTGACATTTTTGTTAGAGTCTTAAATTTAAATGGGATTGTCATATAAGCCGCTATGAAATTATTTAAAATTTGGTGCAACCAATAATAAAATTTCGATTTAAAACAGTTTGTGAGCGTCAAAAGTGGCAAAGCAACTTTCTTAAGAAATAATTATCTATCTTATAAAACGAATAATATCTGCAATTATTTTACACGTAAAAAATTAGTGACATTTGATGACTTTTTATATCAAATCTACAAAATCAGTTATTTTGTCGGTGAGAAAACACTTGACGCAAAAACCGCTGAATTGTCAAAACTGCTTTATTTCACGGATTTCATTTCGCCTTATTTCAATGAGGAAGCGCGTCAATTTACAGCCGTGTGACCATATATCACCGGTCTCTTAACGGAATCTCGTTTCAAGATAATACGAGAAACTGGGTACGACGTGGCCCGGAGAACGATTGCAGCCGAACGTAACTTCCGCCGGGCGCTATCTCGGCACTCCACACCTCTACTTTATTGGGTGTATATATACACACCGAGTGCACGATGCCGGGGCTCACGTAGGGATACACACGGTGGCACGTTAAGTAAGCGGATACGTATGCGGGCTGTCGTGTACGGCGTACGTGCGGAGTG